ATATCCATGATTATACAGAATCAAATATTGTGGTGTTATGAACTATTAATAACGTTTCATGTGGGGCTGGGGGCCTCGTTTCGTTTTTTTCTTATATGAGCTACAATAATTAGCAACAAATACTCCTACACGAATAGATCGATATCGACCAAACTTAGCACACAAACACTTGATTATCCATATTAAAACGCCGAAGGGTACTGAACTCCTAAGATCCATTACTCTGGACTCGGGGGCCCCATTTCATTTTTCCTAATATAAGCTATATAAATATTAATAGTCGGAGACTACACTATAGGATATAAGTGAATTAATGGATATAGGACTAGCGTGGTAGCAGTACCCTTCATTTTCGTATTGAAATATCGGTGGATTTAAAAGTAAGAATATCCAATATATAATTTTCCAGAAAGTTTGATTATTTAAAAGCTATATCTATGGCATAATTAAATAGATTTTAATGGAACAAATTTTAATCGCATAATTTACTTGACTGATTTTTATAGGGCCCCTATATCAGGCATAACTAAGTCGGTACAATTAATTATGGAATGGACCCCCGTCGTGTCCCCTTACTAACAATTGTTTTTTAAGTTCTATTCGTAGTTTGGAAAACTTATGTGATTTATTGAATAATTTTAGACTCAGATTTGTGCAAAATAAAAAATAAAAAACAAAGATTAAAACTTATTTTAACCCTGCTAACAGCACGATGGGACGAACCGGACCTTCCCTTGCTATTAAGAGAATTTTTTTTGGTCGTAAGTTTTCATAACAAATGTCAAGCTGAGTGGTGACATATCATTAGAAGGGTCATCAACTAATGTACATGTCATTTGCACCCAACCTTTCCACTGTCAGCCAAACTTAACGTTAGTTCTAAGAGACTGTGACTGTGATTGCATTTAGTGATGTACAAAGTCAAATCATGGCATTTAGTGATGGTACAAAGTCAAATCATGGCACTTAGTGATGGTACAAAGTCAAATCATGGCATTGAGTGATGGTACAAAGTCAAATCATGGCATTGAGTGATGGTACAAAGTGAAATCATGGCATTGAGTGATGGTACAAAGTCAAATCATGGTATTGAGTGATGGTACAAAGTGAAATCATGGCATTGAGTGATGGTACAAAGTCAAATCATGGCATTGAGTGATGGTGCAAAGTGAAATCATGGCATTGAGTGATGGTACAAAGTCAAATCATGGCATTGAGGGATGGTACAAAGTCAAATCATGGCATTGAGTGATGGTACAAAGTCAAATCATGGCATTGAGTGATGGTACAAAGTGAAATCATGGCATTGAGTGATGGTACAAAGTCAAATCATGGCATTTAGTGATGGTACAAAGTCAAATCATGGCATTGAGTGATGTACAAAGTCAAATCATGGCATTGAGTGATGGTACAAAGTGAAAATCAAAATGGAATCTTGATCTCATAAAAAAAAATATTTAAAAACAATTGTACGAACAGCTTTTTATACTGTACAACAATCGTGTCAGATCGCAATAGATTCATTCTATTCCAATACCGAGTCAGTGATCCAACACTGAGTCAGTATGTTCTAACATTGAGTCAATATTCAAACATTGAGTCAGTATTCCAACATTGAGTCAGTATTCCAACATTGAGCCAGTATTCCAACATATGAGTATTCCAAAAATGAGTCATAATGTTTCAACATTGGGTAGGTATTCCAACATTGAGTCAGTATTCCTCAAAATTCAGTCAGTATTTCAATATTGAGTCAATATTCCAACATTGAGTTCGTATTCCCCAACATTCAGTCAGCACTGCAACATGGAGTCAATATTACAACATTGAGTTCGTATTCCCCAACATTCAGTCAGCACTCCAACATGGAGTCAATATTACAACATTGAGGTATTGCGTTAAATATCAATGTGTACACAATTAAACAGCATTTTGAATAATTTGATCTAACCTTCATTCGCATTTCGCTGTCACCAGAGAGTCCAAATGGTTTATAGAGAACCTATGAAGCTATTATTTCGAGTCATTCTTACATTATTAGCATGGAAAACTGTATGTTATCGAAAAAAATTTAACCGATCTAATTCTACATCACGCAATAATTGCCATAAGCTCTCTCTGTCTCCTGGCAGCTACTTCTCTCTCTCTCTCTCTCTGTCTCTGTCTCCTGGCAGCTACTTCTCTCTCTCTCTCTCTGTCTCTGTCTCCTGGCAGCTACTTCTCTCTCTCTCTCTCTCTGTCTCCTGGCAGCTACTTCTCTCTCTCTCTCTCTCTGTCTCTGACTCCTGGCAGCTACTTCTCTCTCTCTGTCTCTGTCTCCTGGCAGCTACTTCTCTCTCTCTCTCTCT